GCGGCTTCCTGAATCTGTGTGGCCACTTCATTTTGCGCAGTGCAAACAATAAAAACTGCTTCTGGATCGATTCAACTCGTGATATTTTTTCATCGGTGTATGGGTTCCAAATTTGGGAAGCATATTCCACAATCGGCAATACAAATGTGGAAAATAATTTCTTTATGGTCCATGGTGTTAGGTTTATGAAATGATATACAACCGGTATATTTGATGTGTAGTATAAGACTGATTTATTTTCAATAAAACATTACAGGCAAAGCCTACTGACTACTTGATAGCAAAGCTAAAAATCACAACATCTCCCCCCTTAAAGTTTCAATGAAGACATTGAAGTGTTTAATTCGTCAATCGGATCTGGTAAATTGGAAGATTGATTTTCTTCTTCGAACAAATCCAAAAAGGTGGTGAATGATGTGGTATCAGGAACAGTAGAAGAAAAACGTTGCTTCATTTGATATGTGTGAGCATGGATTCTTCTACCTTCAGTTTCGACCAAGTAGTTAACTTTTCCGATTTTCTTTGCGACCACACCTTCCTTCCAGGAAAAACTGTTTTCGTGGTGTATTTTGACCCAAACAGTATCTCCAATGTTGAAAGTGCGCTGTTTCGGACCATGTTTGGTGTTGAATTGATTTTCCATTTTGATGTTTCTCGACAGTTGTTCGTGAATCGGTGGTTTCATCACATCAAAAATGGTTCTCATTTTTCGCCCCAGCATAATTTCGGCTGGAGACTTCTTCGATGGACAGTTATCGTTCGATGTACTGCGATAGTTGTGCTTGAAGATTTTCGTCCAAATTGTTTTCGTTTTCCATTTTCTTGATGGAACGTTTAAATGTATCGCTAAAACGTTCTGCTCCAACGGTCGTTGGACATTGGTGAAAAGGCTGCAGTTCGGATGTGCTCGATACCATTTGAGTTGTAGAAACTTTCGAACTTTCCCGAAGTAAATTGTGGTCCATTGTCTGAGACAAGAATTTTTGGTGGTCCAAATTGTGCAAAAATCGAAGTCAGAATTTTGATGGTTTGAACCGTCGTTTTTGAAGACGTTTTTATGATCTCAGGCCATTTCGAGTAAGCATCAACCACGATGAGAGAGTAGAATCGTTTAAACGGGCCAGCATAATCAATGTGTACACGATCCCAGGGATGTGTTGGAATTGGCCACGACTGAAGAAGTGTTTTGACTGGTGTTTTAGCGTTAATTGCACAATTCGAGCATAATTTGGCAGTTTCTTCGATTTTCTGGTCAATTCCGGGCCAGTAGACGTATCTTCGAGCGACATGTTTCATGTGGTTAGCTCCTGGATGGCCTCGGTGAAGTTTGGTGATGATATTGCTTCGTAGAACCAATGGAACAACTATTCTCTCTCCATAGAGTACGATGTTGTATGAAATTGTTAATGATTCACGGATACGATGATATTGCGTGAGTTCTGGATCAAGTTTGAATGATGAATCATCCCAATTGTTTTCGATCATTTTTACTAAACGCTTTAGGTTTTCATCATCTGAATAAGCGTTACACAGTTGTTTGTATGTGATTGGCAGGCAATTCAAGTTTGAATTGATGACAGCGAGAATCTGTATTTCAGAAGTGATCGAAGCTACTACGATGTCGTCAATTTGTGTGTTTTGATTTACCAATCTTGACAAAAAATCAGCATAGGCAAACGATTCAGTGTTGATATATTCGATGTTGAAATTGTAGGCCAAAAGTATTATGGCCCAACGTTGTAGCCTGTTGGCAGTGTGAAGCGGAATGCCTTTCTTCGAACCAAAAATTGCAAGCAAAGGTTTATGGTCCGTTTGAAGAGTGAATGACCGACCAAAGATGAATTTGTGAAATTTCTGTACAGCAAAAATTATTGCGAGGCCTTCTTTCTCGATTTGGCTGTACTGTTTCTCAGCTGGCAATAGCGAACGAGACGCAAAACAAATCGGTCGGATCGAACCGTCAGTCATTTTGTGTTGAATGCAGGCTCCGAGACCTTTTATTGATGCGTCCGCTGAAACGATAATTTCAAGATTTGGATTGTAATGTGTTACTAATAGCTCAGACGACAATGCTGTTTTCATCTTTTTGAATGCATTTTCGCACGATTCGTTCCAATTCCATGGTGTGTCCTTTTTGAGCAAATTGTTCAATGGTGCTCTTAGATTTTGAAGGTTCCGTATGAACTTTCCGTAGAAATTCAAAGTTCCAAGGAATGAACGTAATTCAGTCAAGTTGGTTGGCTGTGGTAATTCTCTGATAACACGAATACGTTATGGATCGGGCTGAAAACCATTCTTGTTTATTACGTAACCCAGGTAGTATTTCATTGAGTCCAAATCTGCTTTTCGCCAATTTAATGTGAAAACCGAATTCTTTCAGTCGATTCATTAGAGCAATGAGAGCTCTGTCGTGGCTTCGCTTGTCGTGACCAAAAATGAATAGGTCATCCATGTAGGCAATAACTCCTTGAAGGCCGGTGATCATTCGATCCATTGCCTCTTGAAAAATTGCTGGAGCTGGTTTGGTGCCAAAATTTAGTCGGTTGTATTGGAATAATCCGACGTGAGTGTTGATTACTAACAACTGTTCCGATTCTTCATCGACTTCAATTTGAAGGAAGGCATCAGATAAATCAACATGACTGAAAATTTTCGAATTGTTCAGTTTTGCGTAGATGTCTTCACATAATCGCAATTCACCAGTTTTCTTCAATTTTGCAACAATAGGAGCAGCACACTTTGCGTTGGTTATCGAGGAAATGACGCCCATATTTTGTAAGCGTTTTAATTCTTTTCGATCAACGGCTGGAAAGCGAATGGTGCTGGTCTCGATTTGCAGAAGGGTGGTTTTACGTTCTCCTTCAGTGTTAGATGGGCTTTGAATTGGGTACATTTTCCAAGTGAATTTTCAAAGCACGAAGATTTGAGAAAATTTTCGTATTTATCTCTCGAGATTGCGTTGATTTGGCCTTTACTACTACAAAATTCGTTGATCGGTAAATCCCATAGATTGAAAGCGGTCATCAAATCATTGCCAAACACGTTAAGCGAATCATTGTTCGTTGACTGGATGATCTGATCATGAAGTGAAATTTCGCAATTCATTTCGCCTATCAAATGCATGTTGTTTCCGGATGCGTCATTCGGTGAGAAGGTCGTCGGGACGAACTCTAAGCTGAGATTGTTGCATAATGTTTCCGAAATGACAGTCACATCAGCTGCAGAATCGATTTGAAGGCGGGTTGGTATGTTATATATTCTTGAATATCGATGAATTTTCGTTGCGAATTTACTTGATGAACCGAAATCATGGCTACTTTTCTTTTGTTTTCGGCATTTTTCTCCTTAGAAGGAAAACTTTTCGAAGAGTTAGCCTTGGAATTTTTATCGATCTCGTTCGGTTGTTGTAAAGCTGTCAACGGACACGGACAAAAAATGAAAAAAGTCGTTTTTGTCCGTCCGTCCGTCCGAACTTTTTTTGTCCGTCCGAAAAAAATGAAAATTTCGGACGGACAAATTTTGTCCGTCCGAACTTTTCGGACGGACGGACAATGTCCGAAAAATTTTATCTCGGCAAACAGACAACGGACACGGACGGGTTTTGTCCGAAACCTTTAGGACACGCTTTTTTGTCCGAACATTCGGACAGTCCGAATGTTCGGAC